CCGATTGGGTGAGCATCAGACTCGTCTTGAAAAATCGGCGACAATGCTTCAGAGACGAGGAATTAATACAAGTACGATGAATCTGGCTGGCTCTGATACCATATGAAGAGTCTCGAATTTCTCTGAAAAGACTCCCTGTATCTATTAATCATATGAATATACAGGATTGTCTTTTATAGACAAATTACAGATAAAATAAATCACAATTTTCTATACTATAGCGAGAGTTACCATAAATACACAATATTGTATCTATCCTTTCTAAATATATAAATTAGGATTCATATCTTCGATATTAACTAGGTACACAAGATATAATTTCTTTCCACATTTCTGACTTTCTTATACGGACTTAAAATGGTCTTATAGTATGCAATCTCACATTGATTATTGTGATGGACATTCATCCTTCAAACGTTGAACTCAGTGGAGGTAAGATTCAAATATGCTGTCATTTTAAAAAATGTACAGATGAGTGACATGTAGTTTTCTGTTTGAAAATTACAATGCATCACAATATATTTTTCTAAATCCTTTATAGTAGAGTTTAAAAAAGCAGTTTTCCGAATTCAAACCAGAACCAGTAGGGGGCCCGTCCAAGTCCTCATTGGAAAAAAAAAAAAGCCTTCCACCATAACCCCACATAAATGTTCATTTTAATAGCATGGCATTAAGTGTTGTTTTGGGGGTGATTTGAGTATTCTAAACATTGTTTAAAATTTTTTTAACAAACGATACTTAAATTTTACAATTTTTTATTTTTGTTGTCGGCTCACCGAGTCGTCCTGTTTGACTAAGGCTAAAGGTGACCAGTTCGACCCACCGGTCTTTCAGAACCGCTTCTTATCATTTATAAGTTTTTTATTTGTTTGGCCCACCGCGATGCTGTTTGATTATTGGGCCGGCATATTTGTGATCATTCAGATTGACAGTTCAGCAAATCTCTTCCTAAATGACAAATCATAACCCATTAATCTGTTTGGCAGGTGCTATTGGCACTATAGTTGCTTTGCCCATAGACATTTTAGTATTCAATCAAGCATTTGAATGGACTGCTCCATTTTATATTTAGAAATGTCACATTTTTTGAATGAGTCATAAATCTACTCATAGGAAAAGATCAAAGACAAAATGTTCTATACAGCCAAAAAGTTCCTACTCTTGAATTTTGATGATTTATACTACTGTTTGTCCTATCTTCAAAGTTCAAACAACCAACTACTTTGTCCCATGGGCTTAAAGTATCACATGAAATTGGCACATCTACATTTCCAATACTACCCAAAAAATTACGAAGCCCCATATTTATACTCGGAATTTAGACTCGCCACGGGTCCAATAGGGCTTAAATCTGGCGAGTCCGGCATGTGATTTTTTAAAACACTTATTTACAGCCTCGACGATGAATTGGGGTGGCAATGGGCCAGGCAGCCCCGCTCAACCCAATTAGTTCGGGCCTAGGCCACAAAAATGGGGCCTTACGGCTTGGATGGGGCTATAGAAGGCTGCGCTTGAGCCCTTCCTCCCCTCTAGTGTTCAACCGGCCGAACCGAGCAGGTCCCAACCAGTCCAAAAAGCATTAAGAATTAAAAAAATGAAAAATATATTTAAGGCATGATTAAACAAAGCACATCCAATGAAGTTGAAAAGTAGTTAAAAAAATTGATTTGTGACTAAAGGTATTTTTTAAAAATTTTAAATTTTCAAAAAAATGAAAAAATGTAAAAATAAATATTCATGGCCAAAGTACTTTCCAATATTTGCCAAAATGATAAAGAAAAAATAAAAAAATACATTACAAACAAATCCCTTATTTGTTGGGATTTTATATTTTTAAATTTTTTTAAAATACTCTACCAGACCACTAAAACTGGTCAAAACCGGATCAACTAGTTTTCAGTCCCAAGTTGATGAGCCGGTTTTGAGTTGGACTGGCTGGGTTTGCAAATACTGCTCCCCTTTTCTCTTTTTCCTTTGAATTTATTTGGCCCGATGTGGCCCAAGACCAGGCCTGGCCAAGGCGTCTTTTACCTTATCCAAGCAGCTGGGCCCATACCAGCCCTATAGAGATCTGGGCTAGGCCTCACGCCACCCAAGCCCGGGCTATTGTCAGCCCAGACGACGAAGATCCAAGGTGCACCATTTTCTCCATTCGAAACTTCAAATGATTGTTTATCTCAACAGAACAGAGACCAAACTATTCACGTGCAACGAAATAGTATATTTATGCACTCCAAATCATTAAATATGAATTATAAACTAGTGGAGGAAAGCGACTGGTTTTCTTTGATGAGCCTTAGTTGAGATACATATCGCCCAATGATTTCATTTCATATTTTAAAAGCCGTTTAGATTATTTCTAACACGTTTTACATTAAATTACTCGTTATGTAAACCTAAGTTTAAAACACGATATTTCTCTAACACGCTCGTCCTATTGAATCATTTATTATTATTATTATTATTTAATGTTTAAGTTTATTTCTCTTCATCAATTCTGAAGGTGAACGTTGTACCATATTTGTCACATCACGTTAGGGGTCGATAATTCAATATGCATGCCCACCAATTATAGCACCTTTTACACGCGAAAAAGGATTTCTTTTAGCAGGTCACAGTCAGTGTTGGAAGAATCGAATAGGTCTCAAAAACCGGCCAATGGCCAGTTTTGAGTAACCGATTAATTTCTTGGTTCAATCCGATAAGTTTTGGTCGGTCCAAAAAATATTAAAAAAATAAAACAATCTAAAAAAATATGAAAAAACATATTTAAAACAAGATTAAGTTAAATGCATTCAAATAAAATTGAAAATCAGTAAAAAAAAAAAAATGAATTTAAAAAAATAGATTGTGTCGAAAGGTATTTTTGAAATTAAAAAAACATATATATAAAAATAAATATTCATGGCCAAAACTCTTTACAATATTGGTGAAAATGATAAAAAAAACATTGAAAAGCACTTACAAATAAATCCCTTATTTTTGAGGATTTTATATAACTTTTTTTTTAAATACCCAACCAAAACCCCAAAACCGGCCAAAATTGGATTAGCCATTGCCCAATTCAAGTTTGACCAGACGGTTCCAAGTTGGACCGGCCAAATTTGCAAATACTCGATTAGTGGCAACATTAAAAAAAGAAGAGTTTAATATATTCATCATGATTCTAAAGAAGATCCTCAATTTTATTTTTTTTCTTTGGGTGAGTCAACGAGGAGGGGGTGAGTCATGATAGATGCTTAGATTCATTTGAGAATGCTAAGTTGCTAAACTAATGCATAAAAAATGGTTTATGTCGTGGAACAACATAAAGAATCTACACATTCAAGCTGAGTATCTAGAAATGAATGACAGGAAACTTCACAAAGCTAACCACACAAAATAAAAAATGGAGAAAAAAAAAAGAGAAAAAAATAAATCACAATAACCGATAGTTCAAGAAATCTTGAAAAATTAAGGTTTTTAAATTTGGTGATCCAAAATGCGAACTGTCAGATTAGATTTTGTGGGTGGGTGATTCAAGTTTCCCTTTTAGAATCACCTAAAATTATTATCTTATAAAAATGTTTTTCCTAATTTTTTGCCGATTCAGCTGATCCATATCTAAAATTGGTTCAATGGGTGGGGAATCCAAATCCGATCCAAATTTTAAAACACTGCTTTAGAGAAAAAGACCTAACACTGTTTTGGAGAAAAAGACCTGTGTATGCGAATGATCACAGAGACAGTAAAGCTGTGGTGTAGCTTTAAAGGTAAAAATGCACCTTGCTGCCTTGAATCCCTTTTGTGTATTCCCTACTGAAAGCAACCGACGAATTTAGCATTGACATTTCGGCCACTTCCAAAAGTTTAGATTTAAAACTTTTCGTTAGTGTCTAGGATGTAGCATTGCAAATCGTCAAGCGCTAACCAATTAAGCTCGGGCTCTAGTGTTGTTAGTTAGGGTTTGGCTAGATGGTGGTTTACATTACCGATTTGAGTGATACCGAAAGTTTGGATTTTTTAAGGTTCGTGCTGTTCAACTGTGTCCAGTATTCAAACATGTATTCGTACTAGGGATGATCGTATGGATTTTATAAAAAAGAACAAAACGTTCTATGTAAAGGTTCATATGTTCTACAATTATGGAAAATGGTTTGACAGGGCAGCAGCCTTATCAAAATAAGTAAAGCTTCATCTCATAATTTATCAAAAAATATAATTCATATATTGAAAAACCTTTACATCGATCATTTCAGCTTGAACATATTAGTTATGAAAAAAATTAGGATTTTAAGCTCTAAAAATCATATATATTGTAACAAATTAACTACGTTGTTCATTTCACCTTAAAATTAAGTGTTCATAGATCCGTAAGATCTGTACTGTGTTTTGAGTTTCAAATTTTATTATCGTCTTAGAAATTAATTTAGATCTATCATAGAGATTTCCTTTAGCGAAAATGCTTTCCATAAATATTCGAGGTGAGCATTATTTTATTTGTATAAAGCCTAGGCGTTATAGAAACTTCATCCACCAAGTATTAGAATATAAAGAATGGAGTTTGTATAGGGCCAAGGTTTTATGAAAACAAAGTGAAACCTCACCTCATACTTCGTTTGGAAAGTATTTTGGGCATTTGATTTCTCCAAGCTCAATTCTACCCCCGACCATTAAATATGATGCTCAAAAGATGATACAGATTTTGTGGATTTGTGAACGCTTATTTTTAAGGCAAAATAGACCGTCTATATAATGTATTACATTATAGACTATTGTAGGGTTTGAAATCTTTATTATGTGTTCACAACCATAATAGAAGAAATCTCCACCGTCATCATTTATTATGGGTGGCAGAGATAATGCTATCGTTTCCCTTGATGGTAGAATGACAGAGAAGGCTCACACGATGGTCCACCCTCCACGCTTTAACGGCGAAGGGTCCAGCACCATACTGTAGAAGAAAATTGTCGGCAAATTTCAATCTCAGGCATTTCATTGAGACCTTTCGAAATTTTAAATGTCCGAAATAGAAGATAACAATCCAGATGGAGACCAACAGTTTTGAAGCGGGAAGAGAAGCTCTTCTCCCTCTCTCTCTTCAACTCCCATGCTTTATTTAGGACATCTTCTCCTCTTCATATAAGCTCGCCCTCATTTCAATGGCGTCCCTCGCTTCCCCCATTACTTTATACAGTAATTTATCTCCAGTATCTTCCTGCATTTTATCATCTCCACTTCACTTGCAATTCTTCAAGCATCCACAAAAGACCCAACTGAAATTCAAGAGATTTCATAAGACTTCTCCGGTTAATTACAAACAAGAAGAAATTGCTCTTTTGAACAAAATTTTACCTGTTTCCAATGACTTGTTGGAAATTCCGGTGGTAATGGGGCTCAAGAAACTTGGGGGTGGTCTTGAGAAGGTAAATTTTATGTGTTTCGCATATTTTTTACTATGAATTTGGAGCTATATTCTTTTGTTTTCTACTTTTATTGGTTAATTGTTTTTGGGTTTTTTGTGATTTGGTTAATTGTGTTAAGTACAAGAGTTTGAGGTTCGATTGAATGTCGTAGCCTCGTAGGTGCAGAACCCTGTCTCTAATGTTTTTTGGCATTAAATTTTAGTGTCCAATTGGTGGTAACTTCTTAGCAGTAGTATTGTCGCATAGGTAGAAAAAATCTTCGCTTCTTTTATTTTTTAGCCATGGTATTGGATTGATTATAGAACCCCATTTTATGCTGATAGTTGTGGGTATGAAAAAAAAGGCATGACTAATAATATTAGTATTTCAGCCATTCGGGTTAGATATAATTTGAGTTATTGTATTTGAAATCAATATAAGTGTTTTTTTTTTTATTGTTCTTGTTTTTCTAATCATGTTATATCCTGAATGTAGAGAAACAAATTAAAACATATATTTTATGATAAATTTGGGTTGGTTCTGTTAACTTCTTCAGATTTTTAATGTACCAACTTCTTAACGTTTGCTGTTTTTCCTTTGTCCTTTTTGAATTGTAATGCCAATATGAATCTCAATGTACCAAAAGACTGTTTCCCAACATACAAATTTTTTACCCGGTGCTGAAAAATTTAGAGACTGTCTCTCCATCTCCAGCTTTGTTTCTGTCGTTGATATTTTGAAATTGATATCTAACATTGTGCTTATTCCTTGAAGAAACTGCATGTGAATATGAGCCATACAAAAAACGTAAAAGAGTATTATAGCTGAGACAGGCTAAGGGTCATCGTGTGGCTTGTAAAGTGAACTGGTTGATTAAAGAGAGAAGCTTGAATGGTCCAAGCTTCGGTATGCCATTGATCTCCAGTGGCTTCAGCTTCAAAGATACTCAAACATAGAAACATGTTGATGGATCACTCATATTTTGTGTCTCTACAGAGAATAAGGCGCGCTCGGATGACATAGCGTGGAGGCTCAAGGTCCTTCTCTTGCAGAGTATTACCTTGCCTCTGCATTTGAGAGACAAATGTATCGTCTGAAATACCAAAGGCATATTAAGATCCCTTATGCCTGGTTTGATTCTTTTTCCTGCTCCTCAAGAAAGCTCGATACACTTCCTATCCCAAAACCCCTGGCTGAATGCCACAAAAAGGCGACCTGCGAATACATTGTGCAAGTTCCCTGTCGTGTCCATGAGTTGAGAGAAACAAATGCATCCTCTCTCAGATCTTGGCTTCAGCCTCTGTCTCTTTAGTTTCCTCGAGTGTCCTCTTGAGCTGTTTGCCAAGCTTTTCCACTCTGGCTTGCAAATTATTTTCATATTTGTTATCAGCATTACAGTGACTCCATCGAACTGCTCCCCAAACACTGCCCATTTATGTCACTGGCGGGTATGAAGCACAAGATATAAAAATGCACTCTGCTTCACAATGCAGCAAATTCTAGTATTCTCTGAAAAGTTTCAAAGTAGTCTAATTGATTGGGAACAAGATAAAGCGGTTATCAGTGGCATCTCATTAGCTTCTGCACGTGCATGCCGAGCTTTTTCGGGATGTTGTCTTTCAAAGGAGCCAAAATATTGCTCTGCTGTTTCTCCAATGCTTTCGTGACCTCTCTTGTCATATCAGCAAGAGCATTCTCTAAAACAAGAGAGTAATGACGCCATCTGTTGATTTGTATTTCGTATTTCTTGATAATGTCTATGATGAGCACCTACATCTCATCGGCAAATGGAGAGGTGGAAAGCTGGGTTGTAATTCAAGTCAATGGGCCTTTACCTGTTTTGCATAGCTCGTGAAGGTGATAATTTTCTCCAATTCCAGCCATAATATATAAATGAAAGAAATTCTTTGAATCCACCTGTCCATTTGCTGGACCAATGTTCCAAGATGTGTGATCTCTTTCAAAATCTGCAGCTGCAATGAGTAGCTCTGTTACATGGGGGGAAGGCCTTGATGGAGGCCAAGCCACAAGAAACCCCTCTAAGCCTTTTGCATAACTTTGTACCGTAAACACAGGCAGCTATGTCAGGTCAAGCAATGAAGCTAGTATATGCTGATTGTGAATTTTATCATCTTCCAAATCTCATTGCCAATATTGATACACAAAAGATTTTCATATTGAGGTAGGCTGAGGAAATAGACAGAGGTCCATCAAGAAGCCATCATTTTGCTGTATATAAGCTCATAAGTGTCCTGCATGTGTCGCATACTTCCCTTTCTAGCAGCCATCTGCAGATTGTTTCTCAAAAACATTTATTCCTCTTGTGAAAGTATATCACTAAAGAAAAGTGTATATCTGCACAGCAGGGACTAATGCTGAAGCAGTGGAGTCTGAAGTTTGGGTTGAGCATAGCCAACCATGCAGTAGGGAAGAGTTCATACAATGGTTTAGAATTCTCAAGAACAATTGCAAAAAAGACACCCCACTTGATCCTCACTGTCTGATAGGGATCCTTTCTCTTGCCTATGGAGATTGCTTTCATCTCAAGTCTCTACTACAGGTATGAGCAAATCATGTATGAGATCCAAACTTTTGTTGGTTTGGCTACATCTATGAGATATAAAATATACCTGAGCCTAGTGTATGCATCAAAAAATCCATGATAATCAGAAAATTCAGCAAATAACCACTGCCATGGTCCCCGTAGGTCCAGGTTTGGTGAATGAAAATTTTTGGAATGCAAAAAGCAGCCTGGGATATGAAGTCATATGCTAGTACTTTTTCCAGAGGTACTTGTAGTACTAATGGATAGTTGAACTTTCCCCACCCATTCCTGATCTTCATGGCATATTGGCTTCCACCATACTCTATCAGTCAAAGAAGAAACCTGAATTGTTGCTCAACCTCAAGCATTTCTTTGGAATCCTGAAGACCTGAACCAATAAAAAACGAGCATCTCCTTGACTCTCTGGAAAAAGGATATGAGATTCACTAGATCCTGGTTGCCTGCAGATAGCTGTCTCTGTTTGTGTGTCTTCAATTGAAATTTTCAATTGTATGAAGCATGGCGATACCTCTTGTTGTAATGTCATTGAGAGTCTCAGTTGGAATGATGTTCTTATTGAGCTAACGCCTGATTTTAGTAATGCTGCAACATGTCTAACATAGTCCAACATAGTGTGGACTGGCTTGCATACATGCTGCGCTCAACTGTCATATGTCGCATGGCATTCTTGACGATGTATAACGCAAATCTTTTTCACTTCCACCTTCATCATTCCAATAACTTTCTTGTAGTTCACTGAACATTCCTTTACAGAGTGAACTGTCCTCCATGGCTAAGGATTCCATTCCAGATGTGCAACTGGAATTTGGGCTACCCAAATGCATTGCACAAGATGATGCACTCATTTATTAGGGATTCAAAAGCCTCCATGCAGCATCAATCTTATGCAAGCAGACCTAAGTGAATACATGCATCATACACTACAAAGAACTGCCAAGTGCTCTGACGATTGGTCCATTGAAGTGGGTTGCCTGCATGGTACTTGACTTGTGTTTCAACTTCTCCAGAAACATACCTTGGACATGGTTCATTTACGTATGTGACTGAGCAACAAGATCAGTAAAGCCTTCCTTAATATCAGAAGAGAGCCTTGTTTCAACTTGTGCATGGAGCTCATGGTATACATGTTGTGTTTCTGATATATAACATGCTCCTTTCAATTTGGTAGCATCTCTCAGTTGTGTCTCTCCTGTTTCAGAGTTCTGAGATCCAGTCCAAGAATCAACTATGGGAGGTGCACTAGGAGCCATGCTTCTGACGAAATTTTGGACCTGAGTTATTCTCTAAGGAAGTCTCAGTCATTGTGTTGATTCCATTGCATCTTGCATGTCGTCCCAAACACTCGATACTGTTACATTATTTGCAAATTCCCTTATCCCCAAATTCCCATCTTTGGATCTCTGAGCATTTTTGACAATTCCACTTCCAAACTCTCCTTCCAAATCCTTTCACCCCTGACTCACTAATGGGTGCTTCTGAACTTGGTTTAACACCAAGTAAATCTTCATTATAGTTTCTCACTCTAGGTTTCTCTTGGAGATCAGAATCACTTGAAGCCAATGTCTCCTCCTCAAAACCATCTGAGAAATCTGATTCATTGCCACTAGAAATGGAGGCAATGCTCTCTTCCTCATAACGGGATCCAAGCCAGCCTTACAAAGTGGACCAAGATATAACGGGATCCAATCCAGCCTTACAGAGTGGAACAAGATAACCTGTGTAGAATTCTAATGGTCACAATGTGATTTAAGCGAAATGGTCCCTTTCTCTGGGCTGAAATAGGTAGGTCTCTGATAGTATAACATTGAATTTCTTTGTAAAAGTGTACAAAGAAATTCAGTCTACAAAAGAAGAGAGAGAGAGATTAAAGCACACTTTTGTGTTTGTCTATCACTTTCATGGTTGTAGTGCTACAGGAAGTTACAATCTAAATTGTGAGGTTCTCTCTGCTGCTCACTTATCATTGTCCTTTATAGGACTTAGTACGAAGCCTTAATCCCTTCTTTTAATCAAATTTTGAAGTCAACAACATAGTCAATTATAAATTTTAAGAAAATTTGCATAAATTAATCCTTGTCCAATGTGGGGAACCCAACACAATTGATTCCGTTGTTTTTTTCTTTTCTTTTTTCTTTTTCTGGCTAGGTAAGCTAGGGATTTATGCGCCTAGCAAATGAGATGAGGAGCCCCATACACTTAATCGAAGCATCAGCTAATTCCTATAGTCATATATGACTAAGAGAGTACAAACTGTCATATCTATCTAAGAATGTCAAGCAAGGGTAGATAATTTGTTTACTGAGCGAACTAAACATAGTTAAGGTATATATTTATAAATTTCCTCCAATGCACCAATAGGTGTATTTTTGGTTGGTCCTCCTTGGAAATTGATACATTGGCCATAAGATGTCTCCGATGTTCTTACCTGTTGTCTTGAAGATCTAAGCAGTCATCCCATGAAAGGCAAGGTTAGGAGATTGATGCCATTTGTTAAACTGAATACATCTAATGTGCGAGTGCTCTTAGCGGACACTTTGACATTGATCTTAGGTATGGAAATATTCTTTTTATCCTCTTTATGCTCTGATGTGGTTTTAAGTCGATTCAAATTTTTTTGAACAGGTTGTTTGAGTTCTAGGCTTATTTCATATGATGGAAGCCTGGAAGGAGATGGATTTGGATAATATGGCTTCTTAGGACTGGTATAGCAAGGATATATAGAATGATATTAACGGTAACTCTTAGCCTAAGCCCCAGAATTTTTCATAGTCATGCTCATAGTAGCGGTGGGAGAGGGAGAGGCTAATCTTCTGGGAGGGAGAGACTGCTGCAGAGGCTCAAATCCATGGCACTTGTACTCTGATGTTTACAGATTTTGATTAAGGAAATGAGTTAAAGACAAATAACTAGTGCTTGGAAATTCTCTTCTAATTTAAAAAAGTATAATAGTACATCTAAAGTATTTGCGCTAAGAAGCTGGAAAGGTGGAATAAGTTGCAGCACCCTTTTCATGCTTCATGAGTTGATGAGTTCTATCACGAATACACCAATAAAAATGATAACGAAGGCATCCAATTCATCAATAATTCTATTTTCATACATGTGGTCACCTAGGGAAATGATTTGAAACTGATTCCCAACAGCAAATTATCAGTTTTTCTGTCAGTTGCCTTATTTACATATTCCTGTTAATGATTTTTCCTTCATCTGGATCTGCCATTTTGGTTTGGTAATTATAGAGCGACTATGTCTCATGCTTTGCACCATTTGCCTTTTCTCTGTTTCAGAATAAAGTTTTTCCAGTTTTGAGGAGAAAGGTTATGGCTTTAGTGTTATCTGGTTTTGTGTTTTCGCAAGTGGATTCATTAGATATGGCCTTCGCAGAGCTGTCTACTGTGTTTAGGGAATATGTTGATACATTTGATGGGTATACCTTCAAGTATCCACAAAATTGGATTCAAGTAAGAGGTGCAGGTGCAGATATATTCTTTAGGGACCCATTTGTTCTTGATGAGAACCTCTCTGTGGAAATGTCCTCCCCATCTTCTTCGAAATTTAAGAGTGTTAAAGATTTGGGTGCTCCCCAAGAAGCCGGTGAGAAAGTATTGAGGCAATATTTGACAGAATTCATGTCAACAAGATTAGGGGTTCGACGTGAGTCTGACATTCTTTCCACTTCCTCAAGAATTGCAGATGATGGGAAACTGTACTATCAAGTTGAGGTAAGAAGATGTGGCCTTTAGACTTAACCAAAGGTATGAACAGTACAATTGGTTTTAAGTTATTTTCAATAGAAGGTGCTAGTTTAAGAATTCTTAATGGTTTTCCCTTGAAACTCTTTGTCCTGCTTTTTATTTTGACTTTAAAATGAAACTGTCATTTACTAAGCATAATACTGAAAAAAAACAAAAATACAATAAACTACATGAAAATGCTATTCGACATTTTTGCATCTCCATTTCTGTCTCTGTTCTTCTTGTTTTACGTTATCTTGCTGTCCATTTGCATCTCTTGCATCTTTTCCATCAATAAAGTTTCCATGCTTTAGAATTTGAGCTTGGGCTTGATTGGATAATATGCTGACCATTGCAATACCAAGTTCGCCAAAACAAAGTTGGTGTGCCTTGAACAACTATTATATTGTTGTATAGTGGTTATGAGTGATTCTCTCGTAAACATGAATCAGGTAAACATAAAATCGTATGCAAGCAACAATGAGTTGGCAGTCATGCCAAAAGATCGAATCCCCCGCCTTGAGTGGGACCGGCGTTACCTTGCAGTTCTTGGTGTAGAGAACAACCGATTATATGAGTTGAGATTGCAGAGCCCTGAAAATGTCTTTGCAGAAGAGGAAAGAGACTTACGCCAGGTCATGGATTCTTTCAGAGTCGTAAAGGTGGCGGACTGATTGCTGATCATACTTAGTTTCATACTCTCTCTCTCTCTCTCTCTCTCTCTCTCTCTCTACCGTCGTCGGTCCGTCGCAGTATAGTTGGTTCGTTGTTGGTTAGTAGTGTGTGTAGGTTTAGTCAGTTAGACGTCTACTAATACTAA